ATAATCCTGAACAACATTCAAGAGGTTTTAGCCGTCGGTCGGACAACTTGCGTAATGCTAATGCCGGCTGTAGTGTAACTTTCGAGCCTTATAACTCGAAAAATACTTAATGAAAAAATATTTTATTATAGTGTTTTGGAAAGCTCTCGAGGTAAGCTACAAGAATATGTAATGAAAAATAATGAGTTTAATTTAAGAAATTGAAGGTGACCTTTATGTGATCTTTAAGCGACTGTCCAAGGTCAAATCAATAGTATCATTTTATGGCCCCCATGAAACTATACAACTTTTGTCTGAAACATTTTCTTGTAAAATGCAAGAGAAATATTTGGATCCGTCGATTAAAATGGGTCACCCTGTATACAACGTTTTGATTGCAAAAATGATCCAACTGGTCTTTGCCATTCTTAATAAATTTCTTTAATGTATTTGGTATAGAATATGCCAATTTACAATGGCAACTGTTAGCAATTGGAATAAATTTTTCAGATACCGAATTCACGTAAGGTATTGTGAAAAATTTCTCCTTAATTTTTTTATTGTCAGTAATTCTGCTATTACCGTCAGTTGAGGCCATAGCAAGATTACTTTTCCCGCTCTCTGCGCCATTTTAGGATACGACAATTCGACTTGCGTGCACAGGAAGTCGTGGCGCTCGCATAGAGAGAGTCGGTGGCAGCGCCGTGAATCGTTTTTCTTTACTTAACTACTGGTTCTGGTTTCTTGATAGACATTACGGTCAACACACGTTTTTCTTTTGTACACTACTTCGCAAGCAAGTTTGTAGTAATCTCAATAAAAAGTGTAGTCATCTTCGACAAAGGGAAGTGACAGCGTGAGTCATTATTACCTCGCGTATCCCACACAAAACATTGGTTCTTCGAGCCGGATCGATGAGAAACAAGCTGCATTGATACAAGCAGTTACGATACCATCGTGCTAGGAAGCTTCGAGAGCCTTCTCTCGTGGCATAAGCAGGCTTGTGCGAAACAAAACGGGCCTCAGCATTTCAAGGATTCTCACGGATCGAGTAGCACATCCGAGGAAAGGTCAACTCGGGAGTGTACGCATACATCAATTCGCCAGGACGCATTTAGCCATTATTCGTTACGTTCAAAGGGAACGCCATAACGCCACAATCATTGCCGCCGGCAGACTAGGTACGAAGTGCGATCGATAAATGATCAATAAAGCAATTCTGCAGTCGGTAAGTCGGGTAAGTTCTCCAAAGTGCTCATTTTCACATTTTTACCTTCTGTATCATTTTGTATAGCCTTATATAACCTTTTTTGCATTTCGTTGTCAATATCAACAATGAGTGACGTAGAGAAATTGAAGAAACTGAATATAAGAAGAGGTCAGATAAAGGCCTTATGCACAAGAGCACATAACACTCTCCACTCGGACGCTGTCCGCGACATGACGGTAGCGCAATTAGTAAAACGCAAGTCAAAGATTGAAGCGACATGGGTGCAGTTCGACGAAGTACAAAACGAAATCGAGATGCTTCAGGATTCAGCAGGGATGGCTGAAGCGCATTCATTTGATCGCGCGGAATATGAGGAGACATATTATGCTATTGTTACCAAATTTCAAGAATTGATCATCTCACGTAGTGCAACTGATCTTCCAGTGATAGAGGCACATCCTGCAGCTAATCGTGCACAAGCTTCAGCAAATAGTTTAAAACTTCCCAAAATCGATTTACCGTCGTTCTCAGGAAATTATGAGGAATGGTATCCCTTTCACGACACTTTTCAGTCGCTTATACATCGTGACACTTCAATTACGTCAATTCAGAAATTTCACTACTTGAAATCTTCGCTCAAGGGGCAGGCTGCAGACATCATTCAATCACTCGAGGTCTCGGCGGAAAATTATAAGGAGGCATGGCAGATGTTAAAAAAACGTTATGACAAGAAACGTATAATTATACAAAAGCATATTAGAGCGCTATTCGAGCTGCAAACAGTATCCAAGGAAAACTTCACGAGCCTTCGGTATTTAGTGGATGGAGTGTTAAAACATCTAAGAGCGCTAAAGACTATTGGACGCCCCACTGATTCATGGGATGATGTCATCATCCATTTGATAACCAGCAAATTGGATCATATCACAAATAAAGAATGGGAAAACAGCATTCCAGACGAGGATATTCCTACGATACGACATTTAACTGATTTTCTAGAGCATAGGTGCCATATCCTCGAGGCTATCAACTGAAGAGCTCAACCTGTTTCCAATTCACAAAGCAAGGCCAATCAGGTAAAGGTTTCATCTCTCGCATCCTCTGATGTAGCCTCGTGTCAAAATTGCCGAGGAGATCATCAGATTTATTCCTGTGAACGATTCTTGAAGCTTTCTCCGGAGGATCGTCTCAAGGTTGTCAAGGAAAACAAGCTATGCTGGAATTGCATAAAGGTTTCGTCTCACACAGCAAAAACGTGCAAGTCAGGCTCATGTAGAACATGTGGCAAGAGACATAACACACTTCTACATGTTTCTAAAGACGAGGAGGTTTCAAAGGTTGTCACATCACCACAATCAACGGAAGCAACACCAAGTTCTCCAACGGTGAGTGTCGCGCATGCGTTAAGATCAGAGATTGCATCCCGGGTCCTGTTATCAACAGCGATAATAAACGCAAAGGATTGCCAAGGGAAACAGCAAACATGTCGTGCTCTTCTGGATTCAGGATCACAATCCAATTTTGTGACGGAGGAGCTGGTACTACGTCTAGGTCTTCAAACAAGGTCGATCGATATTTCGATCGTCGGAGTCAACAACTCTTGTAGCAAGATTAAAAAAATAACTCAGGTGCAATTGAGTTCAAGGTATTACGCATTCAAAATCACAATAGAGTGTTTAGTCCTCAATCGGATAACTGAGAGTTTGCCCAGCTTCACAATTGATAAAGATGCATTTAAGATTCCGCAGAACTTGCCTCTGGCAGACCCGGAGTTTCATCGATCCACTTACATAGACATATTGTTGGGCGCTGAAGTATTTTGGAATACTCTATGCGTTGGGCAGATAAAGGAATCATCGGATCATCCGCTTCTGCAAAAAACATTATTCGGATGGGTGATTGGCGGCGAATATCCTAGTAGAGCCGTGCAGCAAAGGGTCATCCAATGCAACGTGGCCGTCGATAAACCTGAATTAGAGCAACTTGTTGAAAGATTTTGGCAAATCGAGCAAATATCCGGCAAGACAATGCTAACTGAAGAAGAGAGAGAATGTGAAGAACATTTTAAGAAAACTTATCGTCGAACTTCTCAGGGGAGATTTGTGGTGCAGCTGCCAATTAAAACGGACAAGCTACAAGCTTTAGGATCATCTTATGACGCGGCCTTGAAACGGTTTAAATCATTGGAGCTTAAGTTGGATCGTTGTCCAGAAATGAAGAGGGAATATACTAAATTCATACAAGAATATTCGGAACTGAAGCATATGCATCCAGTGCTCACTGAAGACTCAGGAGACACTCCAGTTTATTACATGCCACATCATGCCGTGTACAAGGACTCAAGTTCCACTACTAGACTTCGAGTTGTATTCGACGCTTTGTCTAGAACGAATACCGGTGTATCGCTTAATGACATCTTGATGGTGGGCCCGAATCTACAAGGAGATCTGACTTCTATATTGATTAAATTCCGCTTATGGCAATACGTTCTTACAGCCGATGTGGAGAAGATGTACAGGCAAGTTCAGATTGAGGATAGTCAACGAGGACTTCAGAGGATTCTTTGGCGGAACAATAGCTATGAGGAAGTGCAAGCGTTCGAGTTGGCCACAGTCACATACGGCACGGCCTCAGCTTCATTCTTGGCGGTGCGAGTGTTACAAGAAATAGCCAGATTGGAGCAACACGAAATGCCAACAGGATCAGCTAGAATACTGTCCGATTTCTATGTGGACGACCTGCTGACAGGTGCAAACACTGTTCCAGATCTCATCACCATTTGTGATGAAGTAAGAGCCATATTAAGCAAGGCGGATTTGCATTTGCGTAAGTGGGCTTCCAATGAAGAAATCGTGTTAGAAGGCATACCTAATTCAGCTTCAGAGCTAGATTCTAAACGTCCAAGAAAACACGACCTTATCTACGCTCGGATTGCAATGGAACGCGAAGACTGATGAGTTTCAGTTCAGCATAAACACGAGCAAGCAGTTTAAGATCTCCAAGAGGATTATGCTGTCCGTCATATCTCGCATCTTTGATCCATTAGGTCTTATAAGTCCGATCACCATCACCGCAAGGATACTCATGCAGAAATTGTGGCAACTGAAAATACATTGGGACGAAACAGTGCCCATTGATATACAGACTCAATGGTCTCGTTACGAAGCGGAGCTTCACATGCTTAATGACCTCCGGATACCACGAAAGGTTATTCACCATCACGATTCCAAGTTGGTAGAGTTGTGCGGATTCTCAGACGCTAGTGAGAGGGCTTATGGAGCCTGCGTGTACGTTCGTAGTAAACTGACAAAAGATACTTACCAAACAAGATTATTGTGCGCAAGGTCAAGGGTAGCGCCGTTGAAAAATCTTACATTACCGCGTTTGCAGCTATGTGCCGCATTATTATTAGCTCAGCTTATGCACAAGGTGTTAGAGATTTCCGACATCAAGTTTACACGAATCCTTTATTGGTCTGATTCTACCATAACCCTTTCTTGGATCAAATCATCTCCGAGAAGGTGGAACACATTCGTAGCTAATCGTGTCAGTTTGATTCAAGAACTTTCTGATCCCAACGATTGGCATCATGTGGAATCTGCTCAAAACCCTGCAGACGTCCTCTCTAGAGGAACATCACCTTCATCATTAGTCAATTCCAATCTGTGGTGGTACGGCCCCACATGGCTCTCGCAAGATGCAAACACATGGAGAGTCGAAAACGCTTCGTTTACTTCAGACACCTGAACAACGGGGGATTGTGGCTGCCACAGCTGTCCAGCAAGACTTAGAGTTATTTGACAAATATTCGACATTCAACAAATTAATCAGAGTATGTGGATACATTCTACGTTTCATACACAATTGTCGCACGACGAAATCTAGATACGAAGGGCATTTGTCTATCATGGAGCTTGACCTCGCTATACTATCGTTATCCAAGATGGTGCAATTACATGCATTCACTATCGAACTAAAATGCTTGTGCAATCAAGAACAGCTTCCTAAAACAAGCAAACTCTTATCTCTAAATCCTTTTTTAGATGAGCATGGAATCATTCGCGTGGGCGGTAGGCTCCAGCATGCTGACTTGCCCTATTCAGAGAAACACCAGATTGTGTTACCAGGCAAGCATCCGTTTACCAAATTGTTAATAAAGCACGAGCATATCAAGCTTCTTCACGCAGGAGCACAAATGATTTTGGCCTCTATACGCCAAAAATTCTGGCCGTTGAACGGGAGGAATATTGTTCGTCATATCATTAGAACCTGTGTAACATGCCTCAAGATGAATCCTCCAATGATCCAGCCCCTTATGGGCAATCTACCTAGGCAAAGAGTTCAAGCCGCCAGAGTCTTTGCAAACGTTGGAATTGATTTTTGTGGTCCTTTTCAACTACGTGAGAGCAAGCGACGAAACGCAAGGACGGTGAAGTCTTATGCTGCAATCTTGATGTGTTTGGCAACCAAGGCCATTCACATTGAAATAGCATTTGATTTGTCAGCCGAAGAATTCATACATACCCTTAAACGCTTCATTGGACGCAGAGGCAAGCCGAGTCACATTTTTTCGGACAACGCGACCAACTTCACGGGAGCAAACCGAGAGCTAAGTGAACTACGTGACATGTTTTTAAAGGAAGAGCCCACGATAGTGCAAAAATCAATTTCTGATGGCATTCAGTGGCATTTTATACCACCTAGAGCTCCCAATTTTGGAGGAATTTGGGAAGCATCCGTAAGGTCATTCAAGGCACACTTCAAAAGAGTGGTTGGCACCACTATATTAACAATAGACGAAATGCAAACGCTCTCAATACAAATAGAGGTGATCCTAAATTCTCGTCCAATAACAGCTCTTTCCAATGATCCCAATGACCTGTCCTATCTCTCTCCTGGGCACTTTCTGATTGGAGACACCCTTACCGGTATACCCGAACCAACTTTAACCGAGATTCAGGAAGGTAGACTATCCAAGTGGCAGCGAACGGAACAGATGCGGCAGCATCTCTGGAATCGATGGTCCAAGGACTATCTCAATCAGTTGCAACAGCGCACGAAATAGACAACTAAGGGGATTAATCTCAAAGCTGGAGACATGGTTCTCATCTGAGAGGACAATACATCACCATTGTGCTGGCCCATGGGCAGAGTAGAGGAAACCCACCCCGGTAACGACGGCATCGTCAGGGCGGTGACTCTCAAAACCGTGAAAGGTCTTCTCAGGAGGCCTGCTAATCGGCTAAGTTTGCTTCCTATGGAGTCTTGACCATTCAACTATTTTAATTCACACCTTTCCTTATATTATTTTTATTCCTAGTCAGCATTACTTCATAGTTTTGTTTCAGATTTTTTTTTTTTTTTTTATTGAGATTTGCCAAGGAACAATCTGATGGTTCAGAACGACAACTCGTTTCATATTGAAAGGCTGAACCTTCCAAGGCGGGCGGCGTGTTGAGGCCATAGCAAGATTGCTTTTCCCGCTCTCTGCGCCATTTTAGGATACGACAATTCGACTTGCGTGCACAGGAAGTCGTGGCGCTCGCATAGAGAGAGTCGGTGGCAGCGCCGTGAATCGTTTTTCTTTACTTAACTACTGGTTCTGGTTTCTTGATAGACATTACGGTCAACACACGTTTTTCTTTTGTACACTACTTCGCAAGCAAGTTTGTAGTAATCTCAATAAAAAGTGTAGTCATCTTCGACAAAGGGAAGTGACAGCGTGAGTCATTATTACCTCGCGTATCCCACACAAAACACCATCAGAGTGGAACTTTATTCTTTTTTGTACAGAAGAAAAAACTATTTTGTAGTTCGGCACAGCCAATTTTCGTGCTTGCACCGTAGTTTCGCATAGGCGTTTCAGTTTTTCTCACCACACAGAAATCACAAGTCAATTGTTGGTTAAACGTTTATTATAGTTTCACATTAAGCGTTTATAACAGTTTTACATTGAGTGTTTGTTACACGTAACAATTATCCCTTTGATACACATTTCTATTACATATGACGATGTGACTCGGATATGTATCGCACTCTCGTGGCAACGCCTTGGGGTCGTAGCCCTGAGTCGCCTCGTGGTTACGCTTGAGGAAGACACGCTGAGCTCTCCTAGAGCAACGCCTAGGGAATGTCCCCTTGACCCACAGAAGACCGGCAACAACGTCGTCGCCTCGAATAGCGTTCTTTTCGTTCTCGTAGACGGACTCTCGCATCGATGTATACCAGATTGCGTACCTTGAAAGACTGCCTATTTGGAAAACTCTGCTTGGATATTCCATGAGGCCCGATCCCCCCCTGATTCCCGCCGAACGTATCCGAATTCGATTTGATCGGCGATCTAAAGGACAGAGATATCGCGGTCTTGCTTTTCGGCGCGGATGTAAAACAAGAGCGGAATCTTTGATGACACGACGAAGTTAAGATCATAAGCGCCTCTTTCTTCCCGCCACTAACTCGCTCGCAATGATGGTGTGCGTGCGTGCGTGCGTGCGTGTGTGTGTCTGTCTGTCTATGCAAGAACCGTCTCTTTTTCGCATGTGTGGTGCACCACCTTTCTAGTTTACGCATAACAAAAACAAATCAGTGGATAACCATTACTTAGAAAGATATTTATTGCATTAATCAAATTATTTTGTTGAAAACGAGGGTGACATAAACGTATAATTTTGTCAACAAATCCACATATTACACCTCTCTTGTGACACAATGGACGGTGTGAATTAAAATTAAGAAATCTGCCAGAAAACGTCGCTTTACGATATATATAAAAAACCAGCATATGTTTCTCAACAATCAACATCGTGTCTAAGAAACTCAATCTCCCACCTTCACCAACCTCCATAGTGAATTGCAAGAATAGCTTTCAACTTATTGAAAAATTATGTTTACATTGAACCGGATCATTTATTAATTTCATTGGATGTTGTATCCTTGTTCACAAATGTTCCTACAGAAATGGTATTAGATAGTATTACGAAAAGATGGGAATTTATATCCAGAAAAACTAAAATACCTTTGAATGAGTTTTCAATCGCTATCCGTCTGGTCCTAAATTCCACTTTTTTTATGTTTAACAATAAATTTTACAAACAAATTTTCGGCACTCTTATGGGTTCACCTTTATCTCCAATTGCTGTTGATATTGTTATGCAGGATTTAGAAGGAGTAGCAATTGAAAAATTACCATTTAGGCTCTTATTTTATTTTCGATATGTGAATGATATTATTTTAGCTGCTCCATCTGATGGAATCACAGACATTTAAAAAATTTTCAACTCATTACATGGAAGATTGTAATTCACTATGGAGGTTGGTGAAGGTGGGAGATTGAATTTCTTAGACACGATGTTGATTGTTGAGGAACATATGCTGGTTTTTGATATATATCGTAAAGAGACGTTTTCTGGCAGATTTCTTAATTTTAATTCACACCGTCCATTGTGTCACAAGAGAGGTGTAATATATAGATTTGTTGACAAAATTATACGTCACCCTCGTTTTCAACAAAATAATTTGCAATAAATATCTTTCTAAGTAATGGTTATCTACTGGAATTTGTTTTTTCTTCTGTACAAAAAAGAATAAAGTTCCACTCTGACGGTAATAGCAGAATTACTGACAATAAAAAAATTAAGGAGAAATTTTTCACAATACCTTACGTGAATTCGGTATCTGAAAAATTTATTCCAATTGCTAACAGTTGCCATTGTAAATTGGCATATTCTATACCAAATACATTAAAGAAATTTATTAAGACTGGCAAAGACCAGTTGGATCATTTTTGCAATCAAAACGTTATATATAAGACCTCTTGTGATTGCAATGTTAGTTACGTAGGTCAGACAACTAAAAGACAACTAAAAACAAGATTGCATGAACATGTATCTGATATCAATAGGAGGTCGAAATCTCCGACGGTGATCACCAGTCATCGTATTGAACCAGAATCATAGATTTGACTGGGATAACTGAGATTTTGGACATTGAAACTTCTTATAATAAAAGATTGATATCGGAGATGTTTCATATAAAAAGACAGAAACACGGGATAAACAAACAAAATGATACAGATTCTCTACCAGAATCATATTTCAATATTATTCAATCTCTTTCCCCTTCTTAGGTTGTCTTCTGCCCCTTCCAAAAGTCACCGTCTTTTCTTTGTTTCCTTGTTTCCTTCTCATAACGTTGTTTGACACTGTCGATACATGTGCTCTTTGAAATGTACCTATCATGGCTTATATTTTTATCTTTTGTGACTCAATATATATTGCGTTTCTCAATTATTGTCGGACTTATACCACTACGATAAATCAAGGTATTTATATGTATGTAACTTAATGGGGACTAAATTACGATATAATTATAAATACATACTTGATAATTAATCTGAATTGTAATGCAAATGGTTATAATTGAATCATCTGTAAGATTGTAGATGTCGATAAAATTAGACTCGTTCACTTTCACGATTATTAAACGATGTGTGGACTGCACATATCAAGCGATAAGGAATGCGATCGATATATTTATGTTGTATTTTTATTGAATTCTTGGATTATTTACATTGAAAATGACCCGATCGAGGTTGAAACTGTCTGTATGTAATGCTACATGTAATTGCTAAACATTCTTTATATTATATTTTTCTTATATTAAAATTTTTGTAGAAAATGTATTTTGTATGTCATATGGCTCGTAACCCTTTTTAATTGCTGATTTAGAAAATAAAATTTACGAAAATATCATTATATCTACTCTTACGGAAAAAAACTACTAGTGCATAGCAATTCACAGTAGTGACACTCTGACATTAAGGCCCAGTTCCACAACCCATAGTTAACTCTTAACCGAGGTTCAACTTGTTTCTCATCTCTTTCCAATTCTAGAATTTGAAAGAAACAATGAATAAGTTGAACCTCGGTTAAGAATTAACCATGAGTTGTGGAACTGGGCCTTAATAATAGTGTCACTACTGACATTAGTAGTATCACTGATACACAATAGTGTCACTGCTGAGTAGTACTACTAGTAGTGTATAACGACATATGACGTAACATATATTAGCCAGTTCAACTAAGGCTTTGGAAATATTCTTCGCTATAACTGACATATATAGTGAGAGAACGCGAACTGGCAGTGTTATTAACAAATAAGAATTAAGATCTGACCGTGTAAATGTACAACATACATACGTTAGAGAGCGCCAATGATCGATCAAAGTTAGATATTATGAATACAATATACAGGGTGTCCGTTCATAAATGTCTGGGCAAATATCTCGCAACTGATTGAAGTTATAAGAAAGTTTAATAAGAAAAATTTGTATGACTCCGTGTTAGCTACAAAGTGCACGTAAAAATTTTTTTCTACTCGTGACTTTTTCGAGTTACGTAGATTAACATAGTTTTTTTAAATGGATTCCTATAATTTTTTTTTGCATACTTATATAGTGGGGAGCATTTGCAATCAAAATCATATGTAGTAAAAAATTATTACTATGCATCGTTTACGAGATAATCGATATCTTAAGTATCAAAGTAGTAAATTGGATTCTAAGAAATTTTGAACGTGGTTTGAAATGTCAAAGAGAGGTCGAAGAAAACAAATAATATTTTTTTATGGTATTTATTAACCCATACATTGCTCGAAATGTTGACCATCATGTTCAATACGACTGTTTGGTATCCTTCGTTCTGGATATTTTTGTTGATAGAGTAACTGAGCTTCATTTTCATTACGCATACTTAAATGCCACATCTCAAGCATATTACACTTTTCACTAATTGTAAACATCGTTATTTTTGTAATCTACAATATGATATGAATTCATTGAAAAGACGACTGACTGACTAACAGATACTGCACTGAATTTCATACTCCATGCTATACAAATATTTTATTTATAATACAAAACAAGTAGTCGCGTATTTTGACGAGTTGAAGGTCAGTGATCCTGTTCGACATAACCGACGTCAAAATATTAGTCTGAATTTTGTTTTTCAAATTGTAATATGGAAAATGAACTTGTTAAGATTCAATATTTAAGGTGTAGATTATCTC